TCTGTCTCTGCCATTAACAAGGGCTCACTCAGTGAAACTGATAATTGCCAAGATACAATTAATGGCTCTGGTGAGGGTGGATAACTCCATTTGGCTCCTAATCTCATCTCTACTATTTCTGTGCTATGTGACTTTGGGCTTTGTTTACTTTAGTTGTCCTAAACCTTGTTCCCTCATTTTCAAAATGGAGGTAATATAGAAATCACATAATTCTGAGGAAGTTTGACAAGAATTTACAAAAGAGCAAAAAGATCAAGTGCATAGTAGGTACTCCCTGGAGTTATTCTCCTCTCTGAGTGTTTGCTACCAGGAAGTTGAGAGACAGATTGTTATTTCAGCGTTAGTAACTGCTGCAGGCACCTGCACACTCATATACATATCCATCCATATTCACACACACACAAATAAAATGTGAAACAATGTTTATCTGTGAGTTCCTAGTTTATAACTACTTTTCTCAAACTGCTCCTGACTTAGCAGGGCACTTACTTAGTGGTCTAGTGTCTGGTGATTTCAATATGATCTAGCTTGCATATTTACATTCAGTTATGATATATTATAAAGTTGCATTGACTTTATTGTTTTTATTTATAATTTTCTGATCTTAATTTGTTACTATTGTTTTATTATGGGTGCTCTTGTTGGGTATTTCCCTAAATTCTTGACACTACTGGGTAGATAGACTTTAAATGATACAAAGAAAATTGTGTCCCAATTATGTTAAAGACCATGTACTCTGTACCCCAGCTTTCCCACATGTAGAAGAGACAACATATTAAACCTATAAGTTATCCACAACATGAAAACAAGGGTCTACTGTTGAAATGTGTTGCACAGATAGAAACATTTATCTAGAGGCTGGAGAGATGGCTCAGTGGTTAAAAGCTCTTGCTTGCTGTTCTTCCAAAAGACGAGAGTTTGGTTCTCAGTCCCCAAGTTAGGTGGTTTACAAGCTCCTGTAACTCTAGCTCCATGGGAGTGCGGTCAATGGTAACCAGTGAACAAGGAAGCCTAAATGCAGTATGAGAAAGGTGAATAGCCAAGCTCCCATGTCATAGGGATACAACTGTGATTTGTTTTCAAGCATTTTACCTAGTCTAGATATGAGCCAGGAGAAGACACATAAATACAGGAGACAAAGAAGCAGAAGTAAGAATGATATATAAGTTAAGTGCTTGAAGAAAGACCCAGAAAACAATCCCAGTGAGCTAAAGATCACAGGAAAAAAATACAAGTACTCAAGGCAGCCAAGATCACAATCAGATTACCTAATAAAAGCCAGCATTTCTTTAAATGGAAAACAATGTGCATTGTTTGTCCTTGAAATGTTTCATGCACTGCTTTTAAAAGAATGCCAAAGCACTCCAAACAACAGCCCATATCTGACAGAGCCGTGTCACCCTGCTGCCCTAGAGATCATTGTTCCTATACAGTATTGGGAGGCTTGACTGAATAGATGTTACCTAACGTAGCAGTCACTGGTAATAGATAAGGTCAGAAAACAGACCTAAGCAGGAGGAGGCAGAATTTGAATAAAGCTAGGGCTCACCTGCTCAATAATGAAATAATTGCCCAAAGCATGTCCTTCTACAATCTTACCCAATGTAACAACTGTTCTCCTGCCCTCCCTCTCTCAATGCTGTCTCAAAATTTGCACATAATCTCAGTCGCTCTTAAAGATGCCGATTCAGAAGCCAGACAGCCACTTCCCTAATGTCACGAAAATAGATTCAATTTTACATACATCAGGGTGATTTTAGAAGCAATTTCTGCATCTCCAGTGTAAGCATTACTTACATTTTCCCCTTCAAATCTCATCCCAGTGGTTCCATAGGGCATTTTAAAAGTTACCTGATGCATTTTAGGGCATTCAAAAAAAATCCCTAGAGTGTGTTTATAGCTGCAGCCCTAGACACTAGATACATAGAAAGAATTCTAAAATATTCAGTGATTCAAACAAATGCAAGATTTCATAAGAATTGAATATAACCAGTCAATTGAAAGTTGTTTTTTCTGTCTTTTAAAAAGGGATATCATTAAAATAAATATGTATACAAAGGTACATAGGAGTACACATGGTTTTACATAGGCATGTAATACAAATGTAAAATATGGACACCTCACACACTGAATTGTTTGGGAAGACTATCCTTGATCTTTAAAATGCCTCATCAGATTCCACTGAATGCTCTCCCCTTTATTTCTCTTTTGCTAGGATCCACCCAGTCATCAGCATTTTTATCTTGAGAGTCTAAATTTTCTCCACAGTGAAAACAATGGTGATATTTCTCTTTGAAATCAAAGAAATCAGTGTGACCTAGGTTGTTTTCCCATGTGACTGTGAAGCTTGAGATTAAATACCTGCAATTTTGGGTTACAGTGATTGTCAAGCTTCTTGGACCATAATCTTTTGGCATCTGATGTCTTTCTAGGGTGCCTTTTTGTACACGAGGTGGGGCTATACAGGAGAGGTTTTGTGTGGGTAAGTACCAGTAGGTACAGTCTCAAGAAAAACTTGTATTGCTCAAAGTAGAAGGGCCATAGATACCTCAGTTGCAACTCAAGGCCAACTTTTCTTCAAGGACTTGCTAAGCCCACTTCCTAGCGTGCCCCTCTGTGCCTTTTCAGTTCTCTGTCTGCTTCCCTTTCTGAATCCCTAGGAAATAAATGAATCCAGGCAATTCACCCAGATTAAGGCAGGGAAGGGATGTGTGTAGGATAAAACAGATCACAGATTGCCTCTTATCTCAGAGGAAGAAGTAGCAAAAATTAAGTATTTGTTCATAAGATCATCAGTATATTTTTTAGAATTTTGTTGCAAAAGCCGTTATCCAACCTTAAGTAGTATTCAAACTTAGCATTGTCAATAGGGGCAGAGTGATATCATGTGGTTATTGATAAAGTTTAGAGCAATAAACAATACCACTATGTTGTCTATCTTTTTCCAAAATGATTAACCTAAATGAAATTTGATGGTCAATCAGACAGCTCTGGTGGTAGACCATCTATGGAACAGCCATCTCAGACTTTTGAAAGCTGTCAGATTCCTGAGAAAATAAACCCAAGGGATTATAGGGTAGCTGACAGAGAGAACAATCCAAGTGGAATGTGAGTGCCTTGTCTAAATCCTGATTTACAGAGAAGAAACCAAAATATTCTGGGGACTCAAAGGAATTTTAACTGTGGATGAGCATCTTTGCTGTCATTGGATCAAGGTCATACTTCTTAAGGAGCTAATTTTATTGTGGTGTGTTGAAGAGCTGTTTTATATCATAGGAACCATAAACCCCAAATTTTCCAAAAAACTTCAAGTTAGTTTCTAAATAGCTCAGAAGAATGAGTTTAGTGAGAGAAAGTGCAAACCAGTCTCAATGTTGAAAAATGTTACCAGTTGGTGAATACAGGTAAAGGATACTAGTATTCCTTTTTCTCAGCCTTTTCTTGGGGGAGGGTACGTTTAAACTAACTTTCCCTCCCTAAAGACAGCTCACCTACATTTGTAATCATCATTGCCTTTTTCAAGGTTGTGTGTTCCTAACCATGGTATATGCCTGGATGATGTTACAAAATCCATGGCCCTCAATCCCTGCCCTATCTCTCACCCACAAGGAGATTTTGTTGGAAAACCTTCCAAGTTGTATGTTGCACTCCAGCTTAGGGGGTCTTAAATCCATGAGAAATGACCTATGTGAATCTGGGAAGCTGAAGAAAACATATCTTACCTACAATAGGATCTGTAACACTAAGTATCTCATGGGATTATGGTGGGAATGAAATGAGAGTGTTTGCATCATAGATGGTGTGACATTACATATTGGTTTCCTTTATTCTTTCATGTTCTCATCACTAAACATCCTCTAGACAGACCATATATAAAATGGTCTTTACAAAATGTGGTTCATTCTGTCTATAATGTATGATATATATAGTGAAAAGTTATTATCTTATTATTAAAACCAGGAAAGAACTAGCTTATAGCATTGTTGAAAGATTAGAATAAAAGGCAGCTTTCTCAACTCTGGCCACCAATATAGGCTTATAACTACCCAGCCTTGGAGCTCTCCTTTGGATGAGTCAGCTATGGAATCTAAACCACTTATATTAGCCAAGGATGCCTTATTAACTCTGCATGAAGATGAAGGCAGTCTTGACCTAATAGAACTATCTGGGGCTCAGGAGGCACAGCTTCCACATGGACCCCAAGAAGCCTTGAGATTTTATAGATTGTTTCTCAAATATTAGGAACAGAAAAATTCCATGACTCATCTACCTTGCACAGTAAAATGTGAAATAGTTTTGAAAATTGTCAGCCACTAAATTCAATACAGGATGCTTTTTGCCTTAAGGCCACAATCCTCCTCCTTCTTTGTACCATTATTATTTTTAACTACCTGTCTCTATTTAAGATGACTTGTTCCCATTCCATCTACGTAGGCATAGACTCTGTTTCTCTCTCTCTCCCTCCCCCTCTCTCTATATGTGTGGTTTATGGTTACGTGTACTTTCACATGTATTTGCATGTGTGTGCATGTGGACACCAGCAGTTGCTATTTTTTAACTACCCCAATCACTCCCTACCTTCTTTCTTGAGGCAGGGTCTCTCACTGGACTTGGAGCTGACTGGTTAGGCTAGACTGGCTGGCCAGCAAGCCCTAGGGAGTCCTCCTGTCTCCATCTCCCCAGTGTTGAGTTTATTGGAATATACCACTCAGACTAACATTTTCTTTGGGTATTGGGGATCCAAATTCAGGTCTTCATGCTCATGTGGCATGTCCATTGGCTGAGCCCCCTCCCCAGTCCCATATTCTTAAATAGTTTCTTTATATCAGGTTGGGCTACCGCAAAGCTTTGCCAGGGAGAAGACTTGTCCTCTCTGATATCCCAGGAAAGCATTCTGATCCCATAGTTTACTGGACTTGACTTGTGAGTAATCCACAGGAGAGGTACCAGGACCCAAACCGACCACTGATACACCATTCACCTTAGTTGACTCGACTTACTGAATCCATTAACATCCTGAGAACTGGAGGAGAAGCCTTCATCATTGCGGGTGGTGCTGAGCTTGGTGGCAGGCTTGTCAGTTGAGGCCACTGGGCCCATCTCCCTCTGGGCTCCGCTCTGTGTCTCCTTCTGCTTCTTAGCCAGCTTCCTTTGGGACATGTGCAAGGGAAAAATCACAGTCAGATGGTTCTAGTTGCATTAGAGGACTGGGAAGGTAAGTTGCTCTTTTTCCCCATCCCCCATTCTCAACAAAGAGGCAAGGTAGGCTGTCCAATGTCAGGGTTAAGTCAACACAAACCTTCCTGAAACTAGAAATCATTTTCATTTAGTAGTTGTTTTTCCCACAACAATGAGCATGTTATATATTTGAGCTTATAATGAGAAATCAATGAGGCTCTATGATGCTTCCTCCACTTTCTTTTTGGAGGGAGGAAAGGTCAGGCTGCTCCCTCTGTTTTCATACCTCTAAACATCCCCCTAACAGTCCCAATGCATAATGCTATCTATCTTTGAATTATACCAAGTAACAGAGATTTTTATTCCTCCCTAGGGAACTAAAAGGTCAAAGGCTTCTTTTATGGACTTACAGATCCATTTTACTTGAATTTTAACCAGTAGGGTTTAGATATTTCATAAGAGACATAGTCTTTCTCAGAGATTTACTAATGAAGAATCTACCACATAGCAGTAGACTAAGTGGGGTTGGTGGTTGGTGAGGGTAAAGGTTAGTCTTTTAGCTCAAAGAAAGAAAAGCCAATGCTGGACTTGATTCATAGACATTCCTATAGAAGCGGCAGTCCCAGAGAACCAGAGAGGCATTCATTATAACAATAGTGCAGAGGGGGCATTTCTTAAAGTTTGGTGCAAATATGAATCACCTGAAGATGTAAGATAGCACCCAGAGGCCCAGATTCAGGACCGATAGATAGCTGCCAAGGTCCCTTAGTTGTCCTGACATCAACCACTGAATCTACACTCTCTTTAGCTCTAGGAAGACATGTGTTCATAGCCTCCCTCTGCTGCCTAGGGCAGGTTTCTTGATCTCTGTCTATGCTGAACTCTTCTACACATTGTAGTGAATAACAGAATTAGCCTCATGTAGTCATAAGGATTAAATGGGGCAGCACATCCAATACACAGAGCACAGTGCCTGGCACTTAGAGGATAGCAAGCACATAGATATTACTATTAAATCTTTGCTGACTCAACCAACCACATTCAAATGTCTCATCACTCTCCCCAGCAGTCCCACAGTGGAATTCTGTCTTCGAATTCTATCAAGTGACAGCAACTTTGATTCCTCGCTGGGGGATGAAAAGGTCAAAGACTTCTCTTATGAATTGAAAAATTCATTTCACTTAAATTTCAACTGATGGGGCTTAGGTATTTCATAAGTGATAAAAATATGATAACCTTTCTTGCATGTGGTCCCTTCGGTTTTACACACCCATCTAAATATAGTCATTATGCTCCTATCAGATGAAAATCTGTTAGCTAAATACGTATTTTAAGGATAGGTTTCTTTGAGTACATTGCTCTAGTCTTCACAGAACCTGCTTTGAACTTTAGCCTTTGTTATTCTTGTCTTAGTGTAGAAAGAACAGGCATCCCAGAGAGGTGAAATTAAATGTAACATAGAAAAAATGCTCCTAACCATTGAGAGGTCATTCCAAGAGTTAATGATCTCTCTGCTATAAAAAGCACTACAGGAAAGGGTTAATCTAAATATAGAAGTATGTTAGAAGAGTTTATCTGGATCCAACTCTCAATAGACAGCCTCCCCCCAAGAACCCAAGTCCAATGTGTAGGTGTAGACTCCACATTGAATATAGTGTAGACTACATTGAGCATGGCAGAGTATCTTCTCAAAGTATCTTCACTTATTTATAAAAGAACTATTGAAAAAGACCATGGGGCAGCAAGATGATATAACATAGAGATAAGACACCTTGCTTCCCACCTAGGGGCCTAGAGGGACAAGCAGAGGAAGCCATAATTGGAACCCCTCAGGAGATAGTTGAAAAGAGAAGGCCAGATGGGCAGAAGCTTTCTCTTGAAGGTTGCAGTCAGTCCTAGATGAACACAGAGAGGAAATCATGGTTCACAATACCCCAACTCCACTTTCCCCATCCTCTGACTCCCTATAACATTAGCTGGAACCAAATTAAAAGCTACAGGTGTCAAAGATTCCCTCTGGTGGAGTTCCTGCAGAGAACACCCCAGCAGTAGAATTCATGGCAGAGATAAGGACAGGGTGAGTCTGGACAGAGAAGAGACTAGCTTTTATATTTCTCATTTGGCCATAATGTGAATTTGGACATAAAGTGGAATTCTTCATTTATTCATTCATTCATTCATTCATTCATTTATTCTTAACAATTGGCCTGGGGAAGGAATTGCACTCAAGAAAAGAAACACATTTTTTTTTGTTTGGTCATTAATAGTTTGGCCAGAGGCAGACTGTTGTACTAGTAAAACCACTCCAGGTGGTCAAAGAAAAGACAAGAAATATAACTTGGTTCAGCCTTGTTCTCTCTCACCATCATCAAGCAATCAACAGGCAAAGAACACTAACAAAAAGAAAATGAATAATTTTGTAGCTGATGACATTTCAAAACTATTCTTCATTCATTATCAAAAAGGAGTCTGTTTAAAAATGTATATGTAACCTTCTTAATCATAAATTTGAAAGATTATACAGCAGATATTTTGCCTCCATCCAAACTCGCTCACATTGGCCCACTAGGAAATAAGAGGAAATCTGATAAGAGAATTAACTTGAAAACTACAAATGAGTATGAATCAGAGCTTTGCTATTTCCTTGGAGGCATAACTTCCAGCCAATCTCTTTCCATTCAGGGTAAATAATATATAGAGAATTGTTTTCAACACAAATCACTGGCTTCCAAAGGAATACTAATATCCAAAAGAGGTCTCACTACTTATTTAAAAAATGACATTTTATAGAAAGGTTTAGGTAGATCCAAATACACACACACACACACACACACACACACACACACACACAGAGAGAGAGAGAGAGAGAGAGAGAGAGAGAGAGAGAGAGAGAGAAACAGCCTCTCTAAAATATGGATGTAATAGCAAATTTAAAAACTAAGTTGTAAACAGCATCTATCTGATCTCTATGTTAGCCAGGTTTACATAAAAAATACCAGAGACAATGAATTTCTAGAGAGAAAGGTTTCTTAGGCATCACTGACATGCTGACCCCTCTTGCTTTTTTTTCCTCTAGCAAGAGATGAGCATGTTAATGTACATGGCAGAGAAAGCTGCTCAAGACAGGAGCCAGGAAACAAAATGATTTAGACAGGTAGAGGTCTGAAAAATTTCCCTAGTGACCCTTCACTAAGTCTTACAGTTCCAAAGCACCTACAACACTGCACTCTGGACCCCTGTCCTTAACACATAGTCCTTTGTGGGAGGCATGGGGCTCCTCCAAACCATCGTAATGTCCCGGGATGAGTCCACAGCTGAAGCTTTGGGCTTGCCTTGGTGATGGGTGTTCTATGTGAGTGTTTGGCAATGGGTAAACACAGCCTTAAAGGTGGAAACGGAGGAGACACAGAAGAAAAGAAAACACAAACTCACAGCTGGCATTCAAAATGTAAGAATTAAAACAATCCTAGAAATAGGAAAAAATTGGATATTTTTTGCCATTATCACAGAATTTAACTTATCTCTCCCATTTTATTTTTTTTCCTCTGGAGAACGCCCAAATCTGAAAATACCAAAGACCTTCAAATTATGGTCTAGGCTTCAGCTTAGCCTCCTATTCACACTTCCTAGTAAACAGCAACTCTGTTCCCCATCCCATGATGCTTAATACTCCTGGCCTTGATGTGTTCTTATTCTCCACATCTTTCCAAGTTGAAAGTCATTCCAATGTCAGACCTCCTCTGGGGCTTCTTGCTGCTCCACTAACAGATCTGTAATTTTCTCCTCTCAGGCTGTCTCATTCTTTGAACAAATATTTGAGCACATACATGTATCAGGCTCTGTTAAATGGAAGAAAGCTGTGTCTTCTTCACCTTGACCCTCTACAAGCCCAGAGACAAATGACAAAGACACCCATTAAATAGGTAAGTGCAGAAATATAAAATTACAGAGAGGAAGAATGCTAAGAAGAAATATTTGGTGCTATGAGAGAGTTAATACGTGATTTGAACTCTGGCAGGAGACCAGGAAAGGGTTTGACGCCGTGTCAGCTAAGCACTCATCCATTCTTGTGACAGTCGTTCAACTCTCACCCACTAAGATAAGCACCTCTTGGGAGAAGGGCTTTTGACTCCTTGTACCTACTCCAATTTCTTGCTGAGTATCTGGCACATATCCCATGCTCAATAAATCTGTTGCACAAATTTCTATTTAAAAGTCTACGATTTGAAGTGTAGAAAAGATTGTTATCCTGCTCTGAGTACAAATTATAACCACTTCAAAAGTAGCTAAGTGCAACCAAAGCGAAGGAACACCCTGTACGATATCAGTTTGGGTCTTGGAATGTATGTACCTTGGGATATTTTTGGTAGATAACTCAGCATTTTGTTCTTGGAATATTTGCAGAGTTAGTGTTCACAGAAGTCTGTATGTTTTTTAAAACTCTGGATACCACAGAGTATCCCAAGTCACAGAACCATTAAAAACAAACAAAATAGCCAAACATCATAAAATAGTCATATGAAGCCTGGGGTTGTCCTTCAGGGCCTTTAACACCGGAGTACTTGTGACTTTTCTGAACTTGAAAGTATTTCTCTATTAGTTTTGCAATTCTTGCCAGTTGAGTCACAAGTTTTCACCAGCAGGGGGTACCAAAAGCTGAAGAAAAAAACAGAAATAGAGGTCTCTGAATTCCTCTGCTGGTCATTTCTAGAGCAGGAGAATGCTTCAGGACAGTAATCTCAACCTTTGAAGGCCTTAAAAAGTGCTCTCTCCTCTTGTAGATGTCTTCATTTCTTTTCTAAAATTATTTTCTTACCCTTTGCTCATGAGTTTCTTCCACAGGCAGTTAATGCGCACTTCCTTTATACCTGTGGCTGAAGACAGGCTATCCCGCTGAATACAAACAACAACAACAACAACAACAATAATAACAGATGGGAGCCTTTCCAGTTCAGGCTTGGGGTGTGAGGA